CCAGGCCAACATTTGTTCACAGATTCCTCATCAAATCTACAATTGAAGAGAGAATGCAAGCAATGCTGAAGACGGCAGAAAAAAGGTGCGTGTCAGTTCTTAATGATGCTATTTTTGTATTTAAATAAAAGTTTAAGAGGTCAGGGGATACGCTGTTGTCAAAGTACCAATAAAAGTCTTTTTGATTCCAGTCACACCACCACAGCCATGAAGCACTCAGAGGCTGCAGTACTGACAGTCGCTGACTTGGCTGATCTGTTCACTGAAGACACTGAACCTCTGGAGTGAATCTCAGCACTGGGCTCCTCACAGAGGGATACCAAGTAAAGCAAACAGGAGAAAAAGGGAGTTCACGATTTACACAGCGGTGACAAATTTTGCACATTCCACTTTTTTTATATGAGCATCCTGATGTTACGAAATGAATTTCCAAAAACTATTTTAAGAAATCTCTGATGGATGATGACTACAAATTTCTTACTTGTTGAATTTTAACTCAATTTAGAGCTGATGCATTTGCATCACTTGTCATAGTTGTATCTTACTGGTCCAACTTGTTCAGCTGTGTTTGTTTATCGCATTTAGTCAGGTGTGTTCATTTATGTGCAACTTCACTGTATCTCCAGATGGACTGAACCACTTTGAGGCATTCTCACAACATTCAGGAAATAAAAGTCTGTGAGTGACGGGTCGTCCGCCTGTTATTGCCAGATTTCTTTGTGCTGTCCTTTTACTGTGTGGTTTAAAAAAATGAAGCAGGAAGGACGGCATTGATTTGTGCTCACCTCTGACATAAACTCACTTTTACTCTTTTACAACTGAAGTGAAAGACTGTCGCGGGATTTCTTCGGCCGGGCAATCGACCTTAAGTTATTTCACTGTTGAAACAAAGCCACACAGTTTGGTCTAACAATAGCGCCCATCCTATTTGCAAGACAAAAAGAAGCACAATGTGCAGATTGTTGGAAACTAATCTTGCAAATCAAACTTGTAAAAATTGTGTGAAGATGTTTTGTGCTTTACAGCAACTGTCTCATTCTTTTCTATTCCTCTAAATCATCTGGTCAAGCTTAGGAATCATGTGGCTTAATTAAATGTTACTTGTCTTAAACTGATTAAAATAATCATTCCTCTCTTGTATTTTATGGTCTCTTCTACCACACACATGCACTCACTGGTACTTGGCATTGTTAGCGAATTGCCCTTGACTTGTAATGTGTTTCTTTTCACCTGACTGACTGCGATTCCCGTACTTGTAAAGATTTTAAAATGTCCAGACAACAAAGAGGGACAGCCTCGTGCTGGTGTTCCTTTTTACATGGTTACCAGACTTCTTGTTAGTCTGTGTAGTAAGAAACAGTCATAAGATGTTTACTAAGAGAACGTCGCCACAGTAGGCGGTGACATGGATGTTACCTTGGACTCCCCCGGTTCCCCCTATTCATGCGTGGAATCTCATTGTTGTTGGGGGCATCATTCAAGCTGGTGTTTTTAGGGCTTGAGGGAGGGCCGCAGTTCATTAGTTTTCAAGGGGCTGGAGTAAGAGACGGGTGCTACATTTTCTGGTGTCAGACTGTGGTGAATAGCTCCCAGAAGATTCACAGAGTGTCAGAGAAGGAGCCAAAAGGTAGTGGAGTGGCTGAGCTACCAGAAAGCAGAGGGAAGATGGCATCTGCCAGTTTGGTTTTTGTCTGGCTACTGCTCACCATGAGGATGGTCACCTCGGCAGTCTATCTGGAGCCTGAGGAGGAGGGTGAGCACACGTTTCACAGCCCACAAATCTGGGGATGAACAAAAAACAAACTGATTATTGATTAGCATGTTTTGTTTTGTTTTACTGGCTGCAATAATTGTAAAAAGGTTCTAACACAAGAGAGGAGGATTTAGTCCAAGTCCAGTGAAAGCTGGAGTATAACTGGTGCCTCCCTTGGCAAAAGCTGTATGCCTTGACATTAAATGCAGTGACGGGTTTCAACCACATTCAGGTCTTGACACTCTGAAAATGATTCAGGCTAATTTTTAAGAAAAATATATAGAAAATGACCTGTATATACATACATAATGCTCAAAAGTACTGAGTCATAGTATAACTTTCAACAAAAGAGGAAAATAATCATTCTAAAGCTAATATTTTGATATTGTTGGTTTGGTTGATTTACTTATTGGTGGCTAGACTGTTGGTCCACTACATGTGCTGACTGGTTAAATAGTAATATACCTGTTTATAGGTGCTGAGTGTAAAATGTGACTGATAAAATAACTCTTTGTTTTTTTACTGTTAGAACTTAATGAAACTGTCATTTGCACCAACGACCGTATGGAGCTTGTTATTCCAAGCGCTTTTTTCCTCAACAAAGTTCCTCCTGTATATGTAAGTCATCACTGACCTGTCATTAATAATGCCAAAAGCACTGTGTCATTTTGAGTAATTATTACATATTTGTCTCTATTTGCTTTGTGTCTTCTCTTTTAAGGCTTGGGATTTGCATTTAAATGATCCGGAGTGTCGTGGTGATGTAGTCGGAGAGGACTATGTTTTCAGCATTAAGACAAATCTGTCAGATTGCGGCACTATAATGGTATGATCCATCTTTGATTTGCCTTAAAAAAAGAGAGGATTGCTCCTTCAGGTGATCTTTTAAGAGTGAACTCAGATATTAAATTCAGGTAAATCTGATAAGAAGACAAGCTACTCTTTACTACCTCCATTAATGTTAAGAGAATCCTCTTCATAATGAATTAAAGTGTCTACAGGTGCTGCAGGAATATCTTCAGATCCATGATCCACGCACCTTCTTTCTACTGTGATGTGAATGTTGACTATGAGGCTCTGTGTTCAGATTTTGTATGGAAATTAGCTGATAGCAAGTATAATAGATGGACAGAGAAAGGCACACACTCTGAACCCAGAGAGACGGGAATGAAGAGAAAAGAAGGGGAGGAGTGGCATTTATTCAAGAAAGAGGGACAGAGCTGTTCTTTTTGCCTATAACAGGACAGGGCCTCATTTAAAGCATCAATGGGACTCTGAATGGCCTTGTATTTCTTATTTATCAGCATTCACGTGGGCAATGAGGCTCACGGTTATTTTAATCCAGCTGCTATACACTGAAAGTCAGCCACTGCTTAACACATAAGTGTCCTTTAAATCCTTGGAATGCTTTAAAAATTTTCTTGTAAACCACCTAAAAGGTTAACACGGCTTTCACCAGTTCTCTCAGTACTCAATTTCTGCGATTTACAAGGTTTTTGCACAGAAGCTGAGGAAAGTAAGTATGCTCTGAAGGATAAAGGGCTGTTGCTAAAGGAGAAGAATGTCACAGCTGTCAGTCATGCTTTCACCTTGACCGTAGCACCTTTTACACAGAGACGCCACGTTTACAGTTTCCTCGCTGACATTTCAGTGATGGTTCTGGATGTATAAGAGTCAGAGCCTTCGTGATATGTGCACGTAGCAGTGGGGGGTTATGTTTGCTGCGAGATCTGTCAGTGGTCCTCTCATTGAGGCTGCCCCGGGGGAGCGATTGAGTGTTTACCAAGAAGTAGTAAAAAATGTTCAACTGTTAGAGGTAAAGACAGTTTGTCCTGCTTTGTAACCATGGTCACCACCCTGCATCTCAACAGGGACCTGCAGAAACTTCACACACCAGCTTTTCACCTTTTCCCATTTTATGGTTTATTTTAAAAGGATGGTGACAGCTGAATAAGAGTATTTAATCCCAGTGACTACTCAACCTAACTTTAACTTAATCTCTGTATTATTATAGGTTGTTTACATTACAGTATAAAGCACCTTGATCTAACTGTTATGTGATTTGGCACCATATGAATGAAACTCAATGAATTAAAAAATTAATGTGGTGATGCTAGCATATCCACTTTGCCAGTATTCATATGTACCACAGTAGAGTTTATGTATTGTTAAATGTTAAGTTGGACTGGTACTTATATAGCACCTTTCTACTCAGTTGAACACTTAAGGCACTTTCTAATACAAGTCTCTTTCACTCAGTTACACAAACATCCACATAGTGCTTTTATCTATGCCTAAGTGCTTTCTAACATTCACACACACTTGCACCCTGATGAACATGGTGGCAACTCAGGGTTCAGTATCTTTCCCAAGGATGCTTTAACATGCAGACTAAAGGCCGCCCAACCTGCATTATGTTAGACTCGAGTGTGTGTATATGTGTTTTATGATGTCGCGATCCAGACATTAGTTAGACAAAGGCATCAAACTTAACTAAACTTCTAAACTTTCACAAAAGACATTCTCTTAAGATCTCCACTATTTAATCAGCCCATCACTTAATTTCTATTCCAGGTTTCTGCAGTTGTTCTTACCTAAAACAGCATTATTGATTTCTATTTCTATAAAAATCTAAAAAGTAACGGTAAAGTAAACAAACTACATTTCCCCTCACTGACCATCACACATGCTATGTTCTCTCCATAGGCCTCAGATGACACACACATGGTGTTCATAAACACCATACACAACAACTACTCAGATATTATCACAAGAAACTACATCAACATAACATTTGCGTGCCGCTACCCCATCAACTACATGGTCCAACAGCCCAACGGAGAAAACATGATCAGAGTGGACATCAGGTAAATGTTTTCTGCTTTTCTGACTTTTCTCCAACTGGAGAATGATTTGTTCTCAACATTTGGCCTATTTTAATAAACCCATTGCCTCTGTAGACCTATCACTCTGAACACCGAGGATGGGAATTTCTCAGTGTCAATGCTGCTGTACAAAGACGAAGCCTTTGAGGACAGGTGGACCACTGTGCCATCGCTGACTCTGGAGGATAACATCTTTGTAAAAGTTTTCATGGTAAATCGCAGTGAAATGTCACTTTATTATATTTTTCACCTCCAAATAGTAAAGATGTAGTTCTCACCTTAACAAGTTGTATTATATATTTGCAAATTGGAACGATGCACAAAAGCAATATGTTATATTGGCATTTGATTGGCAAGATAAGTATATCTGTTAATATCTAACAGGGATTTTAAATACTTGGCTCTGACTGTTAAGCATTCAAAGTGTTGCTAATATTCACAGCTATTTTTGAGTTAGTTTGGGTGTGCTCTTACACAAGGTTAAGCAATATGTTTTGTGGGTAGCTTTCCAACCAGTGCTGGAAATCTAACACTCCACCCATGACTAGACAGTCATTTGAGTCCTCTTTCGTGATGTTATAATCTCTTGGTACACCTGTTGTTTACTTACTATGAGTCATCATTTTGTTGTGCGTTATGGAAAACTGTTTGTCCTGTTTAAGGAATTAATTGACCGTTGCCGAACTCTGTCTGTGTCACAGATACCTTCTCATCTGCAGCTGCGTATGGAGAGATGTTGGGCTACGCCGACCAGTGATCCATACAGCAATATTCAGTACACCTTCATCGCAGACAGGTCCGCCTCTGGACTGTTTAAACTGAATGCAGATGAAAATGCATGATTGCCATGTTTACACCACATACTTTGAAGGTGTCGAAGCTTGTTTATGGCGTTCTCCGTGGCTGTGTTGTTTCACCACATTAGCAAACAGTTCCACCTCCTCCTACGGGTGCACTGTTGAAATCTGAAATAAGAGAGTTTGTTGCATAGAGAGCTGTCCAGACAACAAATCTCACAGGCTGGTCATGTGACTCCTGGCTGAGAGGCCACATGCATTTCACTTCAACAGCTGTGCATGCCCTTGACAACCAGGCAGTATTTGGTACTGTTGGCAACAGCAGAGTTATGAAATGCACCAAGATTTCTCAGAGCTAAAGAGATGAAAGCACTCAAACACTTCTGTGTTGTATCACCTCAAGTTATGTTTGCATTTTTTTGTTATTAGCTGTTTCTCCTTTTGTTATATTTAAAGTACAGCATCGTGTTTCATTGCTATCAGCGGGCCTCTTAGACTTGTCTCCTTCACTCTAGCTGCCCAGTGTTGACCAACGACCAGACTCTGAGCATGCTGAAGAACGGTCAGGGCCCAGAGGCCACGTTCAGGATACAAATGTTTAAGTTTGTCGGCAGCTCTTACACCAACGTCTTCCTTCACTGCAACGTCCAGATCTGCCACAGTGGTCCCGGTCTGTGTCAGCCTGTGAGTGACCTCATGCTGCACCCATTCCTCAAACTGATAGTCAGAAGCCAGTTCAGACAAGTAGCCTGCTATATGTCACCAGTATAGACCCGTCAGCCTAGGAGTGGTTTTCAGCCATATGAGCTGCCATCATTTTAAACATACAGTGCTTATGACTGAGGGTTATAGCAATGTTGGTTTTTAAATTTCACATTTCACTCGTGTATTTGCCAAACAGAACTGTTCCGGTGAAGATGGATTACTGAGAACACGGAGAGAAATACCACTGTCTCATACAGTTTCTTACGGACCCATAAGACGACTATTCAACCACAGTGAAAATCCCAGTCTAGGTATGTTTTTTAATTCAGTCTTTGCAGTTAATATAGTTTAACTTCATAGTTTAAAGATTCCAGACACTGTAAGCAGTTCATAAGCATGCAGACCCACCTGTGTGTAGATGCAGGAGGAGTCCCAGCTGTGGAGACATTTGTCCTCGGAGGACTGCTGCTTGTCTTGCTGCTGGTAACAGGAGTCTTTGGGAGGTTGTGGCTTCGCTCCAGACATTTCTACCCAGCACGGGAAGCACAGCTTACCCTGTCCAACATTCATCACATCTCAGAAGTGGCCTCATGAATTGTATGGACTTTATAGAATTAGTAAATGGACACAGGAAAACATACGTACACGTGTTTTTATAATAACGTTATATGTTTTGTGTATTATGCTCGTTAGAAAAAAAAATTTGTTTGATTTGTAAAAAGCTGTGGGTAATAAACATTTCTCTTAAACACATTCCTGATATTAAGATACTTGTGCTTTATTTCATTATTTTTATTTTGTGCTACTTAATTCAACTACTGTATACCATTTGTATTTTCACTGAAGTAAATTTTTTCTTGCATGTGTGGCTTTTACTCAAAAAGAAACTATAGTGCCTTTTCAACTGAATATGATCCAGAGCAACAAAACAAAAAACTTGCCCGAACGTTTAATGTTTTACTTTTTAATGTTATACGACACACAAATATGCTGCTCAGTTTTGGGTCACATGGTTTTAGTTTTAACACGTGACCCAAATAGCAGCTGTAAATAAAACAATGTTCTTAAATTAATTATGTTTAATCATGTTTCATGTTTAATGAAAATGGATGTGAATTTGCTGTTAATGCTTTCTGGATATGACAGGAACAGTAATCAGACTTATTTATGATAGGATAAGTTATAATTTTACCCCAGTCTTTTTATCTTTATGTATAAAAATGTAATTAGTCTTTCTGAGTTTTTTAAGCATCCTCTGATTTTTACTTGTATGCCTACATACAGTACCATGCAAAAGTCTAGAGCCGCCACTCATTTCTTTATGTTTTTGCTGTGAAAATGGGAAATAGATTAAACTAATTATGAATCATGCAAAAACATACATAGAAATGCAGCATATAAGTATTCTGTATGCAGTGTACCTCTCCTGCCCTCCTCCCACACATACTGATTTTGATTCACCACACTATCAGACTTGTTGCCACTGATTTTCAGTCCAGTTGTTGTGAAAGTTTGTATACCTCAGCCTTTTATTCCAGTTTACCTCCATAAGAAGGGTTTCTTCACAGCCACCCTTCCACTAGGACCATGTCTAATGATGCTTTGGTGAATAGTAGAGTTAGATGCATCTTTCAGGTCCTGTGTCAGGTCTTTAATGAGCTTTTTCCTCTTTCTTAAAGCCATAACTTTCCGATTCTGTGCCGATTCTGTGCCAGCTGCAGACAGATTTTATACCTGACACTTCTTCTGTTGTCCTCCATTTGTCCAGTTTCCTTAAGTTTTTTTAAGGACACACCGCACACCATGCTGTCTAGATAGATATGAGCTATGATATGAGCTACGTTTTCAGTTAATGGCTCTTCGGGAATCACGTTGTTGGTTCAACAGTAGTATTTTATACCCATTATATCATGTTGTCTTTGACTTTCTGTAGATTCAAAAAAGAAATTGGAACAAATTATGTGTTTTTGCCACAGGCTTCTAGTAACGAAGTGTGTCAGAACAATGGTTCACTCCTTGAGTTAAGTGCCTTGTCATGCTGGTATGATTCATAGGTCAGTGTTAAGTAGCTTAACAAAAATAAAAAACATTCCTCTGAAAATTTGTGAAAGGGCAACAAATGTCCAAAGAAATACTTTGAAAGACCTTTAGAAAGCCAGAAAAACTATTGCTGGAGACCACTTAAAAAATGACAGGAAACTGTCGCCTTGGAAGGAAAATATTAATTAATTAATTTACTAATTAATATTATATCAGGAGTCTATTCCCATTAAATTTCCCAGACTGCATCATAGGCACCCTAATAGTGATTATGGATGTAAAACTGCC